GAAAAGAGTCTGTTAAAAATGTGCTTATACCTGGACACTAAATAAATGCACAGCTTAAAAGGGTAGAATAAAGTCTGGATGTTATTTGATCAAGTTTTATACTTGGATAGCAGACTACTGTTTTGTCTGCTCAGTTTCAATGTCGTGATGTAGTGTATGTCTGTTATCTTCTTGAAAAGTAATGTCCTTATTTAAAGTTGTTGGATACAAGCATATCCTTGCAAGTTTAAATTTCGCGTTTGCAAATATCAAAATGCAGAGACTACAGTAAAGCTAGCACCACAGATATTTCTTTCTTTGACATTTTGTATCCAAATGTCACTATGAAACTGTATTTACAATTATTTTATTAAAAAATTACACTTTTTAAAATTTTACTCTGTAAAATTAGGTCCATCAGGAAGATAAGGAATAGCAGAATTAAAAATGTTATAGGCAGTGCTCCTTTATTTTGTAACATTACAGAAAAGCTATTTAAAATCCCATTCCAGTATTCAAGTATAAATAATTGGAACTGTACAGATTGAGCACCTAATTAGGCATAATAGGGGTTTTTGCTGCATAGCTTTGTGAAGGCAATCAAAAGGAAAATGCCTGCTACTGCAAACTAGACAATTAATTTTTTTTATCTCATTTAGTTTAGAAAGACTACTGTTTGCTTTTATAAATTCCTAGGTCAAAATGCTTAGAAGAATTATTTTCCAGGTACTTTTTTTGTTCAGGAAAACATTAAGGTTTCTCTGCACTGTACTTACTGCACTTACCTACTCAAGATATTGCTGAAAACGTATCTCCTCTTAAGAAAACAAGCTGCTTCTTAAAAGGCATGTTCGTAGCTGGTTCTGCTCTGCAACTCTGTGAGAACTAGGAAAGTCAAACTATTCACAGTGTCAAGTAAATGAAAGTAATCAATCAAAGGATGGGTAGAACAAATCACTCCCTCAGGGACAGAATTATTATTTTCTACAAATACAAAAACAAGAAAAGTAAGATCTGATTCCACCTGTTTTCAGTTTCTTTGTTCAGATAAAGAATATATTTTATTATTTAATGTAATTCTCTTACAGTAAAATACTCCCTTTCTGAATGTATTATTACATTTGTCAGAAAACAACAAAACACTAGTATCATGTGGCAAATTAAATCCAAGAGGATTTTTTCTTTTCTCATGGCTTCTCTTTGGTTTTGCCAAATGGTTGAATATGACATACAGGAAGAAAAGGTATGAGGGCTTTCTCACCTTTCTCTTCTCTTAGCAAATTCTCCTGAAAGAGCCAGCATTACTCTTCTGTGCAATTTGATAAATGACAAATATGAGTTCAAGTGTCAATTGGAAATAGTTATTTTCTCATTTAGAAACAGGAAAAGCCCATTCCTATAGATATTTTTCAATGTCTACATTCTGAATGTAAATCTAGGTGGATGTTTATTATCTCGTGGACAGAGATGACAGAAAACAAAATTATGTACTCTGACATCAGTATTCTCTAGGATATATAATGAACATGAAAACCTGTCTCATGAAGTTGAAATGAACTCTGATCTTCTAACACACTGTTCAGTATCTTGACTACAAAAAGATGAAAAATCTTATCTCAAGAGACCAAGCAGAAATTGGCTGCACCATTTAAAAAAAATAAAAGGTGTATAGAGTTCAGTACCTTTGCTCTTTAAGGAGGAGGAATTCTACAGTGTGCTAATAGTATTGGAACTGTGACATTTCAACACAGACTACTTACAATGAATTTAATTTTTTTTCTATTAAAACAAATGACCTGGAACATTCAGAAAAGAGAATAGTCTTGCTTCATCAATTTTACTGGAAAATATTTTGCTTTGTGATCTTGGGGAATATGTCCCTTAAGATTTTGATTGTGGTGTTGCCATTTGCTGTTATCATGCACTGTTCAGTAATTTCAGTCAGAGAAGAGGTGTACTGCAATCCATCCTGCGTGATAAGGAGGCTACAAGAAATACCTCTGGGAATACCCTTTGGTCCATATGTGTGATATAAAAATCACATAGACATTCTCGCATGTAAGTTTAGAATGAATTCAAATGCTTGAATTCAATGCTTTAATATTGAATTCTTCATATGAGACACAGTCTCTCTAATAAGAAGTGTGTATTTATATACTTACTTATATAAGTGATTATATAAGATGATTACATTATCATTACTACTCATTAGAATATTTTGAAACATATGATTCAAGCACTGCTAATGAAGAAAGAAAATACTTCTGTGTAGCTTAGACCATTGCCAACGTGCCTTCTTAGAAAACATAAGAATCAAATGCAGGGCTTCATAGATAAGTGGGTCTGAACACAGATAACAGAGATGCAACCCAGCAGATGCAGCAGTTTGTGCAGCAGCTTCCAAAAAAGGGCACCAGAAACTACTGAGGGCAGTATATTGGTTTCTGAAATGGGGAAAAATCAGAAGGAACTGTGTGTCTCACAGGGTTCAATCTGAAGTGCATAAACTCAGAAAAGTTCTGATGAGAACAGAGAAGGCATTGAAGACTAATTTCTTTATAAAGTGCAGTTACTTAATGTTACTTTTCTCTCTTTGTAAGAAGAAATGCAGAAAGTAACATTATATTAATGCAATGAGCTTATCAGTTTTCATTGTCATAAAAAAAAAGAAGTAAAAATCCATGAAAATGCAGGAAGAATGGTATTTTGAGTAAGGGGAAATCAAATTTCCTACAAAAAGTGAATTAAATAAGTGTAATGGCTTAATTTCCAGCAGGAAATAGATGAGAATAAAGCTCAACTATGAAGGACTGGAAATAAAAAAATTAAAAATTAAATTACTGAATAAGATAAACAGAGTAATTGAGGAAAACACTTTCTATCCTAGTGAAAGTGCAAATAGGTTATCTGAGGAAGTAAAAGCTGGAAATTTCAAAACTGATGAGATGTGTTTTTTTATGTGCATTATAGCTTCCTTGTGAAATTCACTGCATAACAATACAACACTGGTTATGTGAAGGCGACAGAGGGTTTGCATGTTTGTCTAGACACCAATTATGTGTACATGTATGTGTATAAAAACTTTTACCCCTCTGAACTTCCTTTGCATATGATTCATTTTTTATCCCAAAAAATAACTTGATTTTCTATTTAACTTTGCTTTTTCTGGAGAGTATATAGATGAAAAAGCTAAGGAGAACCATGTTTTTATAACAAATCATAGTAAATTTTTTTTTTTTTTTACTATGTAAACCACTTTGTTCAGGATTTAAGAATATTTAAAAATATTAGATACTAGAGTAAACAAAAAACCACCCCCAAACTACATATGTTAGCATATAGTCCCATAATTTTTATGAGACCACTGACAAATCTTCCCACATATCATTACTGGTTGCTGGTTGTGTTCTGAGATTAAATATTGAGCTACATGAATCATTACTTCAGTTTAATATCCACTTTAATATTCTGGAGAAATTATAACTGGAACATGTGATTGAGTAGAAAGTATTTCTAGGTAAAGAAATGAAAAAAATTGGAGAATGAGTTCTATAGAAAAAGAAAAGGTTCAACCTTCATTTGGAGGAAAATTTTTCTAAGGGTTAGTAGGGTTTTTTGAATTATTTTCTTTTTTCATTTAAAAAATATTGATGAACGAAAATCAACACCCAAAGTTCAGGAATACTTTCTGTGAACACTGAGATGAAACATATTCAAACTCATTGATAAATATAGTTTTAAAGTAAAATAAGCTTTTAATGAATTACTTTTCTGAAATAGAACAAAATGTTCCTACACAGAAAGTGGAGACTTCACTTTGTTTAAAATCAAAGATAGACTTTGCTGCAAGAAAAAAACAAAGCCATTCTCTGCAACTTTAATGATCTATTGTTTTCTGACTTTTTGATGAGTTCAAATCGTGTGAAATGGAGTGAGGAAAAAAAAAGACATTGACTTGGAAACAGGACTGGATTTAGCCTGAGATTTTTCAGAGCAATGTTCATTTGGGATCTTGGATTCATAGAATGGAATTACTGAGCTCACTGTCTTGTAACAAATGGTGCTTAGCTATAACTTGTCTTCCAGAGCCTTCTAAGCTTAACTGAAGAGACTGTGAAATAGAGAATTCATCAATTCCTCTGACTGGGTGATTCAAACCGTTCACAGTTAAAAAATTGTTTCTTATGGAAATATGTTGACTTCAGTTTTCACATGTTACATTTAGTTTTATTTTTTTTCAGTAGATAAAAGAATGCTCATATATCCAACATTATTTTTTCTGTGAAGGTGTGGGGCTATTTCTATCTTTTTTTTTTTTTTTTTAATTTTTTATTTTTTTTGGTAGAATGAAACTGAGGAAGCAGTTTTTTTTTTTTTTTTTTTTTTTTTTTTTTTTTTTTTTTTGGTAGAATGAAACTGAAGAAGCAGTTTAAATTTCTCAGTCTAATTACTTCTTCAAGCCTTCAAATGTGTTTTTTGATTCTGTACCAGTCCATCAATCTTCCTGCTACTGATGAATTGTTCATTTTCTTCTACGTGATTGACAAAAATGGTGCCAAAACAGACTTCAACCCCTCTAGAATAAATTCCATTCAGTGAAATCCCCTTTAGGTTGACAATAATCAGAGATCTACCAGGTATCCAGTCCCTACTTTATTGTGTGCATTACTGCTATTCTAAAGAGCTAATTCATGATTAGAATGTTATAAGAAACTAAAGGGAATACAGAAATCTAAGAGGATCACATCACTGGCAGGTTATTCTCTGAAGCAAACACTCTTCTCGAGAAATTAAATTAAGTTTGTTTGACATGGCCTGTTTTTCATAGAGCCATGTGGAGTGGCATTAATTTTATTCCTGTGTGTTGATTCTTAATTAATCAAATATCAAATTGGTATTTCCATTTTCATTTTGAATATATAGTTCATTTGTTCTTTGTGTTTTAGGAAACTTTTTTTTAATTTTTACTACTGATAGAGGAAATATATTTTTATCTTCTCTCACTTTGTCCTTCATTTTAGGAGTTACAGTGCTTGAAGGACCAATTTATGCAGTGGGAGGACATGATGGTTGGAGTTATTTGAACACAGTTGAGAGGTGGGACCCTCAAAGTCAGCAGTGGACATTTGTGGCAAGTATGTCAATTGCCAGAAGCACTGTTGGAGTAGCAGCATTAAATGGCAAGTGAGTAGGGTGTGCTTGCACAATTGAAACACTTCTTTTGAAAACCAATGAAGCTTAATTGTCATTGCTTTCCCTTATTTAGTTGCAGTGGCATTGAAATGTTCCAGAGTAGATCAAATGGTCAAAGCTGCTTTAATAGCCCTGTTCCTCTACAAGAAACTGGTTTCAATGGTTCACAAGCCATGCAGCAGACTAGCAACATCTAGACAAAAAGCCCTGGAAAAATTGATCTGAAGTCATGAAGAGCAGCATATGGTCATGCATATCTATGCCAGTTTTGTTTCTTTTGCACAGCTGACCATATGTTTAATGCTTCCCAGTTAACAGATACTCAATTGAATTTTGCATGACTTATATCAAACACTTTTAAATTAAAAGAGATGTTAACTGTGTCTAAGAAAGGTAGGATGGATGCCACTGAAAACTGAAAAGCAGTGGTTTCACTGCAACAAGTAGAAATACGCCATTGATTTTTATTCTTTTTGTCTGAGTACCCATCTTTAAAAAATATCCAATACACCAAGAACTGCAACTTGAAAACATACATAAGGACTTCTCAACTTCCTGGTGCTATTCTTGCTACATTGCTGTTCCACACAACTGACATTTCCAATATCCTGCATTCCTCAGGATATTGGAAATGGATTTCTTATTGAGAAACACAATTATGAGTTTAACATTCAGCAAAAGAAATAATATTTTAGTATGGAAGTTCTGAGGAGTTTTTTCTTGGTTATTCATTATGATTTCTTTCTTCAGCAGTGAATTGCATAGGTAAATAAATGAAATGCATTAGATGCTCTTTGAAGTGAGAGTGCTACAAACTATTCTGCATGTGTATCTCTCACACTGTTTCGGGCACTTTAAATAAAATGGATACTGGATGCTAAATATTTCAAATGTGAGTTTCTTAAGAGACTTGAAAAAGTATAGCCACTTCTTTTGTGTTTTAATGTGAGAAACTGTTCCATTTGGTCTTCCATTGCCCTATGTTTGGCTGAATTTGTTTTCCATTTAAATTAATTTTATGCAGAAAAATGAAAATTGTATTTTTCTATAGGCTTATGAGAAATAAATAAAAAGAATTAAAGCTTTCATATTCTGATGTCATCAGGATCTGAGTAAGGAGATTGATTTGTAAGTAACCTCTTAGTAGTTCCTGATGTATTAAAATGTTATGGAAGCTAACTTGTGTAGACCATGCAAGTAAATTATCAATTATTTTGCTGCTCAAACGAATTGAAAACAATACTATCTAAATTTGGCAAAACAGGGTGCACAGAAATGAATGTTTTTTCACTGAAATGCATTTTTAAATTTAAACTGAAATTCTTATATCAACATCTTTCCTAAAACATGAAAAGGATTGTGTCAACATGTGCATCGTAATCTACTTTGAAAAATATTTAATTATTGAAGCAATAAAATCCTCTGAATTTAAAAAAAAATTCTGAATTTCTCAGAAATTCAGAAAAATAACTATCTGAAGTTTTGGAATTTTTTTTTTTGATTTTAAACTTAGTCCATTTGCCTGGAGAATTTTTTTTTTTTTTTTATTTTAAACGTAGTCCATTTGCCTGGATTCTTTTCTGTAGTCATGCTGCCTTATTACATTTCTAAGTTGCAGTACTGTTTCACCCAGGAGGGCTAAGTGGAGTATCTTCCCCTCCCCACACAAAGGTCACCTGGTTGTTACCTCCAGATTTCCCAGAGTAATAGGATACAATAGTTATCTCTTCAATGAGGAACACAGGCAATATTAATTTCTTAAATGTCTTCTTAGTAGTAAGGAGAACTAGAACAACTAATAAAAGACACAGGTGTTTTTTGAGATAAAAGAAAGACACATGACAAATTTATTTTACCAGGATTTCAATGGAACAATTTATCTGGTGCTAATATGAAATGAATACTTAAGATGAAAAAAAGATGTATTGTAGAGGGATTTGAAGAAGAAAAGGACTGTATGCAATAACCAGGCTGTCACAGTTATCCCTGGAATTCTTTACAGATCTGTCCTGGTTTAAAAGAGTATAAGAGAAAGAGCAAGTTAGTTAAATTACCAGACCATTCAAAGTGGCACCAAAGGGAATAATATCATATGATTCATATTGGCCACATGAATACAGAAATATTTGGATGACCTTAAGAAGCAACACAAATAGAATATTTAGTAGTTTATGTGTGAATTAACAAGCCTTGTGTTTGAAGAAAATTAATGCTAAGAAGCAAAAGAAGAGGTGAAAAAAGCTTTGTATGTTGTTAGCACAGAAAAAAAGAACAGAAGAAGAAATATGGGGGAAAAAAAGAAAGGCTACCAAAGAACACGTAAAGTTTTATTAATATTGGAAATATTCATGTTGTGTTAATGTGTGGAATTCTTATCATCCATATTGAAGGAAGTTCAAGTGAAATTGCAAAGGCTGTATAATGTGTACCATGACTGTCAAGAATGCGTGTCATACCAAAGAAAACCAACAAAACTGATACAGTACAGTTGCAAAGAAACAGGCACAAAATAGCTGCAATTCAGCTGGGAAAGTAGAGATGAAATAAAAGTAAAACAAGGACAATAAGATCATGTCCACAAACCTCTCATCAGGTTCTAAATGCCTGTTTATTGGTTCATATGAAGGGTAATGTTATGTGTTTTTATGTAACACCAAAAACTGGAATATGAGAATTTTCCTTTTCAGTAATATTTTTGTTTTCCCAAGTCAACAATAGGTTCTGGGTACCACTAACAGTGTATGCTGAGGCATCGGAGATTCCATCTCCTTCATCTTCAAGTGTTTCTCATAGTCAAAACAGTAACACAAAAGTCGAGTGTGTTATCTTACTATATATAAAATTATTTATTTTTAACTTGATGTTTTTATCAATTTTCAACATATTTTGGTAGGTGTTGTAGGACTTGCCATGGCTCTAGAATTTCCTGGGATGAAATATGGTCAGTAATTCCTTCTGATATGGAAACAGCATCATCCTCTCTGCCTTGTTACTCTTAACAACCCTGTTGCAGAGAGTGGAAGAGAGAGAGTCCTCAGATCAGCAATAGAAATGGGTGTTAAAATATTAAATGTGGGATGGAGATCTACAATTTGAAATAACTGGTAGAGGATGGTGCTTTTTACATGCAGATAGTGAGTCAAAAGTTGGGATGACTTATTTGAATCTTCTTTGGGGCTCACATAAGTGGTGTGTAGCTAGTGTGCAAGTTATACTATATAAGACCAGCATTCTGTGGTTTTCAGCAGATATTGGTGAAGCAATAGAACTTTTCTGCAGTATGAGTTAGAAGCACCAAGGAACGAAAAGTGTGAAAAAGTCTATATTTGCCAGAAACTTTTTTTAAATTATCTATTATTAAATTATCTAATTAAATTATCTATTTTAAATTAACTATTTCAAGCATTTCTTAATTTTAAACTCAAGAACAAAAAAATCTAGTTGACATCTTCAATCCAATAAATACTAATCCTTTCATTAACTTAAAATGTAAATGCCTCCAAATTTAATACTAATACTATAGTTATGTATTATCCTTCGGTTAAAAAACTCTAATACATGAACTGCTCATTCCCCAAGAACACTAAACCTTTCCAATAATTTAATTTAATTTCAGAACATATTTTATACTAATGGTATAGCTCTAAGTGAAAATTTAGTTTACACATTTTCATCAGGAGTACATACTCCTCAAAGACATTCTCTGTATCATAGAGATTTATGTTATTCTAAACATTTTTGTGTCACTACCATAACTGAAATTTTTCTGTGTTGCTCTATTATATGTCCACAAAGACAGCATTACAAAAAATATTCCTTAGTTTCTACTGGTATGTTTGAAATTATCAATAATTTTTGAAGAAACTATAGCTTTCATGACAGAAAGCCTGGCCCTTAAGTCTTGATCCCTTTAGCGAATATCAGTAAATCTGTGTTACAAAAGCATAAAATGCTCAGCTGTTGATAGGATCCACAGGCTGACTTTGAATGGTAGAACATCACAGTAGTGCCTGAAGTGCCAAAAATCATGACTTTGACACACACTGGCAAGCAGTTCAATCTCATGCTAACTTGTGGAGTCGAGGAAAAGGAGTCCTGCCCTTTATTGATTGCCACATCCTCAAATATGTGCTATAGTCAACTTGATATTTCCCCCTGCTGCTGTTGTTTTTATTAAATACCACACAATGCTGTTGATATATGATAGATGACAAAAAGCGAGGAATTGTTTAATCTTAACTTTTAGAAATACAACTGTCGGTATTCTTTTAAATAATATTTTACTTTTATTTAAAGAAAAGTTTTGTACATATTTGTTGTCTCTGAAGGAAAGTAAAAGAACAAGGAGAAATGTTATAAGAAAATATTATTCCCCGCCAATATCCATCTGTCTGCTTACCATTTGCTGTCACAGGAAAAATAGGCTTGACTTGGAGAAAATTAATACAATTCATTAGTAATAAAAATAGATTCTGGCTAGTGAGAAGCAACCCCAAATTTTAAAATGCCACCTTTCTTTCCCCCCCTTTCCTAGGCTCAGTTTATGTCTTGTATGACATTATAGTCCCACACCTGACTGGGGGATGGGAAAGGGGGCTTGCGGTCAGACCTTATTTTTTTCTCTCTGCTGTTCCTTCCTCACACATTTCCCTTGCTCCATGGTGGGCGTTCCATGGGCTGCAGTCTTTTGGGAGATGACCTCCTATTGCAGTGTGGTGTCCTCCCTAGGCTGCTGTGCCTGTGACTGGTGATTATCTTAAGCAGGAAAGTGCAATGCCAATACTACAGGAAAAATGCATAAGCTGACCCAGAGATATTTTCCTTTACAGGAACAAACCCCTAAGCATAGATCCTCTTAATCAAATCCAACATCTTTAAAATTGGAGTTGTTTGGCAAGCCTCATCTCTCTCCATCAATTATGTTGAAAAAAAGTCCTTTTTCCTGTTTGCCTGAGACACTGATATTTTTTTTTCATAATATTGTTGAAAGA